TGGAATAGCTAAAACAAATTTGAAAAAGAACAACAAAGATGGAGGAATCACTTTCAGTATCAGGCTTCAGTAATCAAGACAGTATGGAATTAATGATGAATCAGTGGAGCAGGATCAGAAGTCCTGAAGTAGACCATGTTAATATAAGCATTTGATCTTTGACAAATGTACAATATCAGTTTATTGAGGAAAGGATAGTCTTTTCAACATATTGTTTTGTAACAATTGGTCATCCATCTGTAAAAGCATGAACCTTGACCAAAAAATCTCACTTTTGATACAAAGATTAACTTGAAATGGGTCATAGAAGCAAATGTAAAACATAAAGGTATAAATTTAAAACCTGTAGGAAAAAACATAGGAAAAAGTTTTTGTGACCCAAGGTTAGAAACAATGCCAGAAGCACAAACACAGAAAAAGTCAATAAATTGGACTTTATCAAGATTAAAAACTTTAGCTCTGTCAAAAACACTGTCAAGAGAATTAAGAGACAAGCTATAGACTGGAAGAAAATATTTTCAACCCATGTTTTTTGACAAAGGACTTGTGTCCAAATTATATAAAGAACTCTCAAAACTCAGTAATAAGAATTCTCAAAGCTCAACCAACCCAATGTAAAAATGGGCAAAGGATTTGAACAGATACTTCACCAAAGAGGATATAAGGATGGCAAATAAACATGTGCAAAGATATTCAGCATTGCTAGCCATTAGGCGAATGCAAATTGAAACCATGATCACAGACCACCACACACAGTGATAGAATTGCTAAAACAGAAAATCGTGACAGCATCAAGTGCTGCCACCTGGAACCCTCATGAATTGGTGGTGAGAATGCCAAATGATACCCCACTCTGAAAAATCATTTGTCAGTTTCTTATGAAGTTATATATACACTTAACCCTGTGACCCAGCAGTACATAGACATTAATAACAATTTTACATGATAGCTGAAACTTGGAAACAACACCAATATCCTTCAAAGGATGAAGGGATAAACTGAGTACAATGAAATAGTATTCAGTGAGCTTAGAAGGAGTGATAGACACAGTAATTTGAATGAAACTCAAAGGCATTATGTTGAATGAGACAAGCCAGTGTCAAAAAGTTAGGTACTACATGATTCCTTTTATTCGACATTCTTGAAAAGGCAAACTTTTGTATAGTGCTGGAAATACAGACCACTGGCTGTCAAGGGTTATTATGCCTGTGGTAAAGGTTTATATGTCAGTGAGTAGTACCAGGGAGCTTTTTGGTTATTGGAACTGTAATGTACCCACTTTGTGGTGGCAGTTATACAAATCTATATGTGTTAACATTTGTGGAACTATACACTAAAAGGAAAATAGTCAACTTTACCATATGATAAAAAATAAAATTTTGAAAAATGTCAAACATCATTCTGTTTTATGAATTTTTGTATGTGACCTTGTTCTTGTTTTGCATTTTGCTTCCGCTTCCCCTCTACCGCCACCTCTTGTGTTGGCATAGGTCACTATTATCCACTGGTCTCTATACTTCGTAGGCCTTTTTAATTTGGAAACCTATATTCTTCAGTCCTGGGAGTTTTCTTGATTTTTATTGACCCCCCATTTTCCCTGTTCTCCCTTCCTGATATTTTTCTGACACTGAACTTCTTAGTTTTGTTTTCTAATTTCTTCTAGTTTCTTTTTTTGGTCTATATGTGAAGATTTACTTATTTTTAAGCTCTAAACCTCCTATGCTTAATAACCAAGAGTTCATTTTTTTTCGTTCTCTGCTTGTTTCTTTTTGATGGCATCCTATTCTTGTTTTATGGTTGTAATATCTTCTCTTAGTTGTAGTTTTTCTTCTTCCTGAATACTTTTTTATTTTGTTGTATATACTTCTCATTACATACTTTCCTTCAATAGCTGATGGTCCTTCTCTGCTTTTATTTAGGAGGAGGATGAGAATGCAGATTGCAGGTCCATAGCCTGTTGTGGGACTTGTCATCTTTGAGCTTCATTCTCCCCCAGTTTGACTGAGCTGTAGAGTTGGGGAATCCCCAAAGACAGTGTGGTTGGCTTTTTCTTCTTGGTCTGACTGGACTCCTCAAGGAAGAGACTTTTCTGGTCTCTTGCCTGTAAGGAACACGTGGTCCAGTGGAGCAGAGGACTCTGGTTCTCAGTATTCAGGGTATTCATTTAACCCCCCTATTTCCAGTCTAGTTTTTTGTCCTTAACTGTATCCGTGTATTTGTATTCCAGAGGTCATCTGTTTTGCCCTTCAAAGGAATAAATCTTCAGTGTTCTACCCTAGTGGCAAGAAGAATTTGGGAATCTGATTACTTCTGAATCAGACTTTCAAGGAACACTTCTTTAAGACAATCCTCTTTCCTTCTTTCACTTTCACTTTCATAGATATCTGAGACTGCCACTTTGTGTCTTTTAGGGATTCTTCTATGTAAAATCAGACTGGTTCTTGTTTTATCTCCATCCTTAGCTTGCAGTGCACTTTTATTTACTTGATCTGAGGAAGTGAAAAAGTTCAAGGTCTAGCTAACAGAAATCTGAAGAATCATCAAGTGGAGCTCTAGTCATGGCCTCTCAGTCAGTTCCCAGACTGACTTTACACATACAGAAGCCTTGAATAAAGGGGCATCTTAGTTACCTGCAAGAAGGACCCCACTGTGCAGCCAAAAGTTTATATTGTTAGTCTTTCTCTCAGACTTCCCCATAGAGCCTTGTGCCCATTTACCAGTGTGACTGTGCACTGGGGAAAAGGGACTCATCAGGTTTGGGGAGGTTTACTGAACACAGGCTCTAAACTGACATTCATTCCTGAAGATCCAGAATGTCCCTATGTGAGAGTAGGAGCTTCTGGAGATCACGTGATCAGTTGAGCTGAAGCTCAGGTACATCTCACAGTGGGTCCAGTTTATCCCCAAATCCACCCTGTGGTTATTCCGTCCAGTTCCATCAGGTATCATTGGAACATGTATTCAGCAACTGGGAGAATCCCCACACTTGTTTTTCTTGAATTAGCTAATTCATTCAGCATTAATTAGTTTGTCTTCCAGCTTACCAGTTTTATTGCTATCACCTCTTCCCTGTTGTCTTCCCTGTCCTTGTGTGTCTATGACCCCACCCCACCCCTAATTTAAAAAATTGTTTTAGAGTTCCAGTAGGGAATGAGTTTGGTACATAGGTTCAGATCCAGCTTTACTTGGAACCACCATCTTTATTATTTTGCTGGGTGATGGTACCTAATCCTATGGCTTTGAAGGCCATCCAACCTCACAAATTTATGTCTAAAGCCCCTCTTTTCTTTCTTCTAAGCTCTAGACATGCATTTACAACTGCTTATTCTACTTTTCTCCTAATATACACATCTCAGATGCTTCATTCCCAACTGTCTCCTTGAAATGTCCATTTCTCATCCAGTCTTCTTGTTCTCAATTAATCCCACACTACCAGCCACCCTCTTGCTCAATTCCAAATCCTCTTCCTTCTTTCCTACATCAGCTTTATCAACATGTCCTATTAGTTCTAGATTTAAAGTATGTCCAGAATCCATCTCCTCTCTGTGGCTACTACCTTGATCTAAGCCATTTTCGTTTCTCACCTGGTTTCATACAGTAACCTCCCAAATGCTCTCTGCTCCGACTCTTGTCCTGCTACAATCCATTGTCTACACAAAAGACAGAGTGAGAATTCTGAATTTGAAATTAGGCCACATGCCTTTCCTGATTCAAAGCTTTCATTGCTGTGCCCCTTCACTTTGAATGGCATCCACACTCCTTACTCTGTCTGCCGGGTCCCTGCCTAACTCTCTGACTTTAGTTCCTGCCAAGGTCTTCATCGTCCCCTCTGTTTTTGGTCACACAAGCCTTGTGGTTTATCAAACATACCAAGCTTGTTCCCTCCTTTGCAGCCTTGGTTGTTGCCATTTTGTCTCATTGAATATCCTTCACCTGCATCTTCACGTGGCTCACCTCTCACTTCATTCAAGTCTCTTCTCAGTAGCATCAGCTCTGAGAAGCCTTCCCTGACCACGCTCTCCACCTTTCTCCCAGATCCACCATTACCCTCTATTACAGCAGCTTATTTCCTTCTGAAAGCCTCCTGAAAGTATCTCTTTGTTTTTTTTTAAATTTTCTTATCTTTCTCCAGCCATTTGAGTATAAGCCCTCTGAGGGCATTGGTTTGAACTGTTTTGTTCCTTGGTGTTATCCTCACACCCAGAGCAGAACCGGGCCCTTAGGAGATATATATTCAGAGACTGTTGGATGGTAGGAAGGAGGGTAGGTAAATAAACTCTTGTTGAGTTCTGTAATGATTTTCATCATGTTTGTTCTTCTGGGATGTCTCAGAATTGAGCCTTTATATAGACTTCTTTTCCACCTTGACTGATTCTACTTCAGAATGCCTTTATGTGCTCTCTTTGTCATTAGGTCTGTTTTAGGGCTCAGAGTTTGAGTTCCCAAATAGCAGACTGCAGATCCTCTTTTCTAACCTTTAGCTGAGAAGACACATCTTCAGCCACAAATGCAGGATCCTGGATGACACTTTAGTGGAAGGAAGCCAGTGTCCTTTCTTATCCCTTGGTCCTGATCCAGTATGGTGCTGGATTAGAAACAAGAGATTGGAACTAGAAATGTAGTCCTGATGACCCACCTCTCAGTATTAGGAGTCTGCTTTTGCTTTTCTGCTCCCTTCTAATCAGTCTTTTTATTTTTAACATCCTTCTGTGTCAGCCACTGATCCTGTTAAGAACTGAGTGTGAGATTTAGATGTGGGTAGGAGGGAGGGTTGATCAATTAGTTTCATTTCATCATCTTAAGAAAGGAATTGAGAGACTACAAATTGTGAAGCCTCCTGTCACCAGCTTCAAATACAATGCCTCCCAGTCTACTCATCCTTGAGTTATATGGCACCTGAATGCTTGTGGTTCCAGTCATAAGTTTCTTTTTAATATCAGATGAAGTGGGGATGATCCCAATAAATGACCCCTCTCTTCTCTTTCTTTTGTACAACTCAGGAGGTTCATCAAGAACGGATTGCATTGGAAAACCAATTGGAACAACTTCGTCCAGTCACTGTATTGTGACCCCCCCACACACAAGATTCAAGTAACAGTGGGTGACCTTTTCTGCCAAGATCTTTCCTTTGAATGTTTCAATGCAACTACTTGTCATAGATGTCTGAAACTGTGTCAAAAGCTCTGAGCAGCAGAATGTAATCAATATCACCTTTTCTCTTGTGCTTCACGTGTATGTTTTTACTATGGTAGAAAAAATGCAACTGATTGTCACACTTAAAATTGTAATTATCAGTGGAATTTATCTCCCATTCTTAAGTATTTCCTCAAGGTGTTAGATGTTGCTCCTAATTGAAAACCAATCTTCTAGCAAATAAAAACAATTTAGAGCATTATTTATTTAAAGAGTTTATGATTTGTACAAGACCTTGTAACCCAGTACCTTCAGGATGCTTGTTTTATTTTCATATGTATATCATATATAGTAGGTTGGTTTCCTAAATAATTGTGATTCCAACTGGATAGTTGGATAGTCTTTGGCATGATGATGATAAAAACAAAACTAGAAGTAAACAAAATAATTAACTTTAGACTGGCACCGTACCCTCCACCACTATATATATGCCAAAAATTGCTTCTCTAGTGCCATTTTGATACTATATCTAGCTATGAATAATACATGACTGTTGTTTTCTATGGAGTAGCAAAGACTTATTCAGTCTTACACCTCTGTGAAGTAGTAGTTTTGTCCATGATCTATTTAACTTGGCCCAGCTAGGCTATCAACACAGATAACTCAGCCCTTTCACGCAGGTTTTTGGACAAGAGCAATCTGCCCTAACTGCCTTGCCCAATCAAATTAAATAACTAGTTGCCAGATCTCTACTTCTATCCTGCATGGGTTAATATATCTGTAAATGCATGAATTTGGAAACCACTCATCAAATGTGAAAGGCTGATGAGACTGTTTGGAATGATGAATATTTGTTGTTTGAACCCAGGTATTCAAACTAAGGAAGAAGGGGCAATTATTATTACCAGTAATCCAACAGTCTTTGGTAGTTATTTTTTTCTTTGTTATTTTAACCCAGATCACAAGTGTATTGGGTTTGAAGAAACAATGAAAGAAAGCCAATCCTTACACTTGATATATGATTATTTTGTTCTCTGTGAAGTGTACTCTTCAGGAGGGATTGGTTTATGTGCAGTTCAGAGGAGCCGACCAATTCCAGTGTAAGTGATGTAAAACAGTAAGCTCAAATCACAGAAGCCAGTATTCTATAGAAATTTACATAGCTCCTGCTTATCCTGTAAAGCTCAAGTTGACAGTGGGAATTGACTGACCCTCCCAGATATCTGGGCTCTCCAGCTTTAAAAGCAGTTCAACACGTGTAAATCCATGAATGATTCATGTCAATGTACGGCAAAAACCACTACAATATTGTAAAGTAATTAGCCTCCAACTAATAAAAATAAATGAAAAAAAAATAAAAGCAGTTCAAGATACTGATGACAAGTTTGCCATCTCTTGTGCATTTTGCTAGGTTACCAGTTCTTAAGATACTGTGGGATGTGTGCTAGGTCCTTTCTGAAGTGGTTTAGCAGAGGTCTGCAGTTTGCAGGACTAAGCCTTTAATTTCAGTAGAGGTGACTGCTGTTAGAAGAAGTAGGCATTTATTTAATGCTTCCTTACTCCATTGGCAAGCTTTATCAGTAGTTTAATGGCAGAAGAGAAATGCTCAAACAGATGATTTTTTCCAAAGAAAAACAAATTGTTGATTCTGTTCTGTATATATTAGAGGATTCAGAATTGCTTGGATTTTGAAAATCCTAAGACTTGAACTCTTTCTCTAGTCCCCTTTCCTTCCCTTTTGGCTGCCTTTTTTATCCCTGTGGGAGGGTTTCAGAGTCTGTTTAAACCTTTTCTAAGATACGAATGGGTGAGTGAACATTTTTTAGGTAACTTCTTTTCACATGTTCTGAGAACTGGGGGCTGCAACACATTTTATCAACAGTGTCCACGTCGCAGACATTTCACATCATATTTGTCTTTTGTTCCATTCAATCCAGGAAAGTCTAGCATATGCACTTTATCTCATAATCTTCCAGGACATACACACACACTCCAGATAGCACTTCATATCCATTAAGCAGACATATAAACTAAAGAATGTTAGTCTATGTTCTACATTTTAAAAATACTAACATGTTTTTCCCTCATCAAGCCAAAACAAGAGTGAGCCAAATTAGGAGTTTGGGGTTTTTTTTAGTTGGCTTGGTTTTCATTAAAGGAAAAAACTTGCACTGGATAGTCAAAGGCTCATGTGTTGCATAGTATCACCAATATTTTAAGATAGGCATTACATTAAAGCCCACAACAATACTATCTACACCCCACCTTCCTGACTGGACTTAATAGTGACCACAGTTTCTAAGTTGCCTAAAAGTGGATTTTTAAAAAAACCAGTTAAATACACATACAACATCATTGTCACCTAACTAGTGCTCATCCTTTGTTTCTCTGTTTTCTTAGGATGTGTATTTTTAATTTAGGATTATAACTTCTGATAATGTTTCTGTGAGCCTTTCATGTGATTTATAGGAAGACTGGGTTATTGCTGTCACCATTATACCTCTTTTGTAAAACTACTCAAGAGTAAGACCTGCTTGTTGGGCAGAAATCTGTGGGCAGAATGTTGATGTTGCCCCCATCCATGAGGGTTTAATAACCTTATTGTTAATCAGTCTTCCTCCATAGGAATCTCATAATTCCAAGGATGAGTGCACAGTATATTACCGATTTACTGGGTACCTCAGCATCTCTGGTTTATGGCTTATTGCTTTGGCCACCTCCCTATCCAGCAGCCATGAAGCAAACCCAAAAGGTAGACTGGAGGAGTGTGTCATAATCAAGGCAGACATTTGCCTTAGTTGGAAGTATCTGACTGCTTTATAAATATTAGAGAAATGCTTTGGATCTGGTTAGGAGAGGAGGCTGCTTAGCTGGGAGCTGTGCCCATTTTCTTCTCATTGCACAGTAGGATGTCGGAGATGAGAGGACCTGTTCCCATATCCTGCAGCTGCTTTGGGGAAACCAAGGCCCTAAGAAACCACAGTTCCTAGTCCAAGAATCCATAGAAGGAGGGAGCTATTGACAGAGTTGGATTTTATGGATTCTAAGTTGAGTCCTCTGGCCACTAGCAGTACTAAAAATAGATCAGAAGGGTTTCTTCTATTTACCATGTTTTATTTACTTAATTAATCATTTTAAAATATGGAAACATGTTTTAGTAAGTTTGAGATTTAGATATTTCTCTTGGATTGAAGCAAAAAATAAAATCTGAAAGAGTAGGATTGAACTATTTGTTCTTCTGAACACCTCACCTTTCATGATGTAGTAAATTACCCTGGGTTTCTTGGCAGAACTTTTGACAGCTGTTGCTTTGAATGAATTCCATTCCTGTATTCCTTATGGGCGTTTGTTTTTAAAATAGACTACTGTGATTGAAATGAACTCAATATGTAGTAAGTTATAGTTTTCTTCAATATAGCATGGGTTACTTGGGTTGCAAATATTCCATTTCAGCATAGTTTAGGGTGAGTAATCAGAAACATGAATTTTTCTTTGATTCCCTAGTAATGTCTGAACTATCATCAAAGCATTCCTCTCTTCATATGTGATTTAATTCTAGTCTGTTTCTAAATGATACTTGTCCATTTCTTAGATGAGCTTATAACCATGGTAATGATAGATCTGTGCTTATTAATAGAAGATCAATAAGAAAATAATCTGGAATGGATATTTTTCTTGCAGTTAAGACAGACATTTGCAAACGTAGTAGTTGGAAAAATCTCAATTTTAGTATAACACCTTAGTGGTAAAAACATTTGTTCAGCACAAGCTAAAATCACACCTCCTGACAAGACATCACTAAGGGAATTTGATTTTTAAAATATTAAGAAAAGAATTACAAATATCCTAGCAACCAAATCTTCCCATGTTACTGACAAGTAGGACTCAGCAGGTTGTGGTTTGAACAGTGTGAATGTGAACAAAATGAAATCTCAGTTGAGAAGTCTTTCTCCTCTAGTTAAAGAGAACATTCTAGTAACTTTGGTTTCTCTTTCCAAGTTGTTGACTCTGTTTGAGGTGTACTCTTTGAAACTGATTTCAAAGGATCACTTGAATTTACACTTTAGTTATGGGTGCTTTGTTATAGTATTTTGCATCATGACTCAGTGTAGTTCAGATTCCTAATAAGAAGTAAGGGGGATGTAGGCTTTTGGAATCCTGAGTCTTTGGAGGCATATCTTGCTTCCCCTTCAGCCCAGGCTAAGGAAGGTTGCCCACCAATACCTGCAGATCAGTCATCAACAGCAGTTTATGAGTCTTACTCCATGAGCCTCCCGGCTTTGTTGTTTGCAGTGAGAGATGCAGCTAGTTATGTGACCCTCCCAAGAGCGGCTGTAAGAATAGCAGACCAAGAGGGCCAGACATGCAAAGCAGTGTAAGCCAAATCTGTGCGCTGCTTCCTTCTCCAAAATAGGCTTTCAGAGATTGCCTTACCAAGCATTTCCTGAAACAGCCAGACTGTGAATGTGGGCGAGACATCCCAGGTGCACAGTCACTTTTAGGCTTATCTCATTGTTTTCTATGTTAATTAACATACATGATGGTAGAGGGACCTTTTCCGAAAAGCATTTCAGGTTTTTGACAGGACTTGTTCTAGTGATGGAAGCGGTTCTCTGCTCTCAGTACTTGAGGAATGTTTGGTTTTTGTGTTTTGTGGGTTCTCTTGTCTTGCTCTAAGCCAAGTTCATGACTGTGGGAGATTGGACAAAGTGGTTTATGATTCTGAAGACTGGAACTTAGCAGGTTGGAACTGGAATTTGAGGGTGGCAGTAGGGAAACTTCTGGTCCCAGTTTGGTCATAAAGCACTTGGTTGAACATCAGGATTGGATCCTAAAGCTCCTTCAGAGAGCCCTGCCTTGGGAAAGGAACAGGTCATGCAGGCGCCCCTTTGTATGGAGATTAGGTCAACTGAGTTGAATTGGTTTTTATTTTGAG